TCCTAACCTAAAATACATGGGTGAGTCAGGAATGGGATAAATAGAAAAAGTAAAGCTGAAGAAGATAAAGTGAATTTCAAGAATAATGCTTTCACAATATCTTGGGTTATTTATCCTAAGATTTTAAAACACATAATGATTTGCCAAAACGTCAAGGTCACTTGATTAAAACATATACCCATTTAAGACAACTATGATATATTATCTCACCCTAGTCAGTATAGCAAAATTTAATAGCAAGCAACAAATGCTGGCAAGGTTGTGGAGAAACCAGAACCCTTATTCATTGTTGGTGGAAGTGTAAAATGGCACAACCACCGTGGAAAGTGGTGTGGCGCTTTCTCAAAAAGTTGCAAATAGAGATACCATTTGACCCAGCAATTCCACTACTGGGAATATACCCTAAAGAGACCATAACCTACATCCAAGCAGATATATGCACATCCATGTTCATCGCAGCTTTGTTCACAATAGCAAGGAGTTGGAAACAACCTAAGTGCCCATCAACAAACGAGTGGATAGAGAAGCTGTGGTATATTCACACAATGGAATACTATGCTGCATTGAAAAACAAGGAACTCATGCAATATTATTCAAAATGGGTGACCCTGGAGGACATGATGCTGAGTAAAATATCTCAGTCAAAGAAAGACAAATACTGCATAGTGCCACTGTTGTAGAATAGGACTGACATCAGGGTTGGAGTAAGACTGAGAAAAACTGGATAGATTATGTATACTGAATTGAAACAGATGAGGGAGAGAACAGTTTAAAAGCGATATATGATGGGGTATTATGATTATCACAGGAATCCACAATTAAGGTTGCATACTGGGGTGCATTCAGGGGGGGGGCGAGGGTGGTGGGGTGAGATTGTATACCAACGAAGAAATTTATCTTTTGCTTTTCAAAGAGAGGAACGACCCGGGGGGCGGGGGTGGTAGAGAAAAAAAGTGCAACAATGAATGAATGGAAATCCAAAATCTCTGTAAATGTGCATTAAAATTAATAAAATAAAAAAATTTTAAAACCCCATATAACCATTTTATCTTAGCCTTCAGAGTGTGAATTAAACAGAGCTTGTCTTCTCTTAAAGTAGAGGAAATAAAAGCTATTAATCCTTCAGGCACAAATGGAGACTTGTACACCAATGTTCACAGCAGTGTTATTTATACACCTTTGCAAAAAAGTGAAAACAGCCCAGATGTTCAACCGCAATCGAATGGATTGAGAAATTATAGTAAATTCACATAATGGAATATTACACAGCATGCAGGAGCAATGGTTTTATAAATTACTGCCTAATTTGGGAGGGACTGGAGAGCATTATGCTGACTGAACTCAGTTCCGTAAGGACAGATACTGTATAAAATTATTATCATAGAATGAGTATGAGGCTCCAAGGGGGAGGAAGGTGAAAGCAGAAGGGTGAGGATGGGTGTGGGGTTGGCAATCATAGAGCCGTACCATTTGATGAGTGGATGGGGTGAGAGAAATGGGAAAGATCCAGTGTGAAAAACAATGTAATCTTGTAAATCAGTATAAAATTATTTTAAAGTTCTTTATTGCACACCAATGTTTATTGCTGCTTTGTTCACAATAGCAAAGAGTTGGAAACAACCCAAGTGCCCATGTACAAACGAATGGATAGAGAAGCTGTGGTATATTCACACAATAAAATATTATGCAGCATTGAAAAACATGAAATATTGAACTCATGAAATATTATACAAAATGGGTGACCCTGGAGGACATTATGCTGAGAGAAATATCTCAGTCACAAAGGGATGAATACTGCATAGTGCCACTGTTGTAAAATGGGACTGACATCAGGGTTGAGGGGAATCTAAGAAATGAGGGGATAAATAATGTATACTGCATGGAAACAGATGAGAAACAACTGTTTAAATGGAATATATGATTAGGTATTATTTTCATGACATGATTCCAGAAAAAGAAATGCACAGTAAAGTGGACTGTGGATTTAGGGCAGGAGGGAATTGTATAGCAATGAAAGAATTTTTTTTTTCCTTTTCAAAGAGAACAGTGAATTGGGAGAGAAGTGGGCAGGGATGAAAATGTGCAGCAATGAATGAACGGGGGAAAAATTAAATTGGAATAATATGCTGTAAAAAATACATTCCATTTTAAAAAGTTCTTTATCTTTCACTTAGTTGGAATTTTTAAGTGTGGTTTAATCTTTAAAAATTAAGTTTACTTGGCTAATAATTTTCTTTTAACATCGCTAAGAAACAACTATTTGCTTTGAAGCAGTTGTTAGACTTTAAAATATTCCTTAAGGTCTTCAGAAAATCAATGTTGATTAACTTCCAAATACAAAACCTCTAGAACTAAGGACATTTGCTTGTTTTTTATTGCTAAGTATTTGAAAGACTAACTTGCTTCTTGAAAAGCAGAGGTGTGGAACAAAGGTCTAATTGTGCTGAATCCTTCTCTTTGATCATTATTCAGACTGGTTCCCAGGATGCTGAAGTCCAAAGAAAAGAACCCAAGCTTTGTTAAAAAAAATCTAGGACTAGAAACCTTACTCAGCACCCTGCTCACATCCAACAACAAAAACCTCATTGCTGGTAAGTCAGAACCACTTCATAACTGACCCTCCAATACATTTCTAAGGCTGCAAATCACAAAGGAGGAGAGATTGTCTATCTTTCTCTGGACAAGCCAGAGAGAGAGAGAGAGAAGAAGAGTCAGAGAGACAGAGTGAGAGGATATACAGACAGAGATACATATACACACACCATAAAGTCAACTACAACTCATAGTGACCAATGGATCTGAACCCTGCCCTATCTTGCTCCTCTATCCTGTATCTCTAATATACTTGAGCTCATTGCTACAATCACTGTGTTGATCCATCTTGTTGAGGGTCTTCCTCTCCTTAGCTAACTCTCCACCTTTCCAAGCATGATGTCCTTTACCAAGGACACGTCCCATCTAAGAACGTGCCCAAAATATGTGAGATAAAGTTTCACCATCCTTTCCTCCAAGAAGCACCCTTGCTACACCTTCTTGAGGACATAGTTGTTTTTTATTTTGGCAGTTCATGGGATATTCACTACTGTTCTCCAACATCACAACTCAAAGGCATCAGTTCTTCTTCTGGCATCCTTATTACTTGCTATGCATCTGAAAATGTATAGTAATTAATAGAAAAGACCATGCACCTTAATCCTTAAACTGGTATCACTGCTCTTTAACATCTTAGATCCCTGGAAACAGATTTTTCCTAGTGCAACACACATGGCAGCATAGTCCATCGCAAATTGAGTTGCTAACCCAAAGGCTGAGCTCTGGTGACTTAGTCATAAGGAGTTATGTTGTCAATCCAAAGGCAAGATTCCAATACACCAATTGCTCTACAGGGAAAAAGCTGAGCAGTCTCCTCTCCGTGGGATTTACAGCTCCTGAAAACCCACTGGAGGGTCAATTATGGCTCGTTGCAACTCAACAAGTGTACAGCAACAACCCCAACGCTGGGCTTCTCTGACAGTTCTAATCTAGGGGCTTCATGAGAGAAAGACAGACAGTCTTCCAGTGTGATTTACAGTTCTGGAAACCCAATGGAGGCTCCACCAAGAGTCGGAATGACTCAACAGGAAGTACAGCTGTAAGTCAGAACTGGCTCAAATGCAGTAAATGAAATTTCATCTGCCTATAAAACCTCTCCCTCTGGTAGCCGAGTGGTAAGAAGTAGTGCTGCAATTCCAAAGGCACGTGGTTCAAATCCATCAGCCTCTCTCCCCTGTCATGTTTTTAATGCTTCTGAGAAACTCCCAGAGGGTAAGCTAAGGGTGGGTTCCCATTCGAAGGTATTCACTAACAACCTACCTATATGGTAAATATCTTTAAAAAAATATATATATATTTTTTTATAAATATCTTTTAATTACTTTTTTCTTGAAGGATTCCTGAAACACGTAAATCCTTAACTATAACTGAAACTCAAGTAAGAATTTTACAGAAGTGTATCGTTCTTCTTCCTTTCCGGAGAGGCTAGGAGTATGGGTAGGAGGAGAGGAAATGTTAAGATAAACCTAGTCCTATCTTCCCAGCATTGATGATGACCGTCACTCTTGGGGGAAGATGCAATGATTTGGTGGTATGTGCTGCAGCAATCTGATTACTGAAAGAACATTCTTGAATTTTCCGATAAAAAAAAAAAAGCTACATACAGAGGGGAGACAGAAATTCGAAAATCCAGGGACACTTGGTAGGCTACACTCTCTCACAAAAGATGTTGTTTCGACCTTTGAAGCACAAGTCCCAAAGGAGTGGAAAGAAGGGATTCTGAAACAGCCTTCCCAGAAGAGTAATCCCAAAGCAAAATCTTTTCCAGAAGAGTATCCTCGCTTTCGGAGGTGCAGGAACTAAAAACAAACAAACCCAAAACAGAAACAAGAACAAAACAAAAACAAAAAAACCAAACCCAAATAAACAAGCACACAAAAACTCCCAGCATTTGGCCCTACTCTGGGGTAAATCAGGTTTCCTTGGGCGCTACTGTCGTAAGCGTAGGACAGTGATGTCCTAGTTTACAGCAATCCAGCTGACCCTGAGAGCCGGGACACCCCGAGGACTGCGGCACAGAAGACACGCTAGCCAGTCTCTCGCCCCTCCTTCTTTCCATTCCTGGGGGATTGGAGTAGCATTGGAGTTGCTGACGCCATCCTTTCCCGCCCCTGGTTTGCAGGGAGCATGCGCTTCCTTCCTCACTTCCTTTCAAAGAAGGAGGTGAGAGTAAGACTACGCCCCAGCAACCAACAATCGGCTTCGCGTCACAGGAACTTCAGCACCCACAGGGTGGACAGCGCTCTCTTCCACCTGAAAACCTGACTCCAAGTCTTTTCTAATCCCATCACTCCCCAGCCGCGCAGAGTTCTCTGCCACTCTCTGTAGCCGCGCCCGCCTAAGCTGGCTCATCCTTTTTTAACCCCTCTTTTCCATTCATAACAAAAGCTACAGCTCTGGGAGTGAGTGCCAAGCGTGAAGAATGGGTCTCCTTTGGACTGGTACCTGGATTCTGGTGCTGGTACTCTACAACAGTCCAGTTCAAGCTTTCCCCAAGCCAGGAGGCAGCCAAGGTAAGTGGACAATTTCTCACCTCTTCCGTTCTCCCTGAAAATACAAAGTTTGACATAACCTGAGCTGAAAAATTTCCCAGTCTCTTTTCTTGATCAAATCTATTCATATTAATTTCAAATAGATTTTCATTTAGAGACTCAAAGTAAATTCTGCCCTCCGCCAAGTTTTTTAATAATTAGTAAAAACATGGGTTGTTTTGAGATATCTTTGAAAGGAGAAGATATGACTTTTCTGCCCAGTTAAAGTTTGTATTTTTTTCATCGTTGTTTTAAAGTCTTTCCACATAATCTATTCATATTAGGCATAGGGATGATGAAAGTGCTCTCAATTAGCTAATCAAAATTATGTTCTGGCTAATTGAGAACAGCTAGTGTATCAAGTTGTAGAACTGTTATAAATGTTTTAACTGTTACAAATGTTTTGCTCATAAAGGAAGTATGATTGTATTAACTCGGGAAATACACTAGGGTAATAGAGCCAACCTTGAAAATCATTGTTAATTGCATAATCTTAGTAAATATATATATAGTTTCATAATCACCCCAAAATAGTTCTCCTAATTATTTCTTTTTAAGGTTTTAGTTCTTTAGAGACATTGTTTATTCTAATGCACTTTAAATGTATATTTGTGTTTCACTCTAGAAAAATCTGTGCATAATAGAGAATTAAGTGCAGAAAGACCTTTGAGTGAACAGGTAGGTCAAAAGTAAAAATATAAATGCTGATTTCTTTTCATTCTATTTATTATTATTTTATGGAATTATGCTATGCTATTTTAAACTTACAAATGCCAAGAGTTTAGTAGTCAAGTTACAGAAATTATGATCATTTCCAAGCTCTGACTGTTACAATGTTCAGTATAATACATAAAGCTGATTGTGATAATCCAGTTAATTGAACATCACATTCACGCTATTGAAGATTGAATAATTTATCAGATAGTGAGTTTTACTCATATTACTGGAAGAAAATAATTATTATTTATTCAGTATCGTCATTTGCCTTTACAACAACACTTTCAGAAATAAATATTTATTTGCATTTTTGTAAATGAAGTAATCAATCCAATGGAGGTTAAATCATTTTACTGAAATACTGGAGCAATGATTTAAAATCCAATTCATTCTGTTTCACAGATTGCTGAAGCAGAAGCAGATAAGATTAAAAAAACATACCCTCCAGGTAAAAATTATTTTAATGTCTGTCTATATTTCTATTAATTTACATAATGTTGGTCTGGAGTATCTTAACTAAAATTTTATGTTGGGTTTGGGGTTTTCACCCAGAAAACAATGCAGGAGAAAGCAATTATTCCTTTGCTGATAACCTGAGCCTGATAAAGGCAATTACAGAGACGCAAAAAATTGAGAAAGAAAAGCAATCCACAAGAAGCTCCTCATATGATAATAAATTGAACGTGGAAGATGTTGATTCAACCAAGAATCGAAGATTAATTGATGATTATGATTCTACCAAGAGTGGACTGGATCATAAAATTCAAGGTAAATGAGGACAAAATAGCTATTTGCTACCTATTTCTCTAAATTGTACTTTTCTATTTTTTTATTAAGAGAAGTGTTATCTTTTAAAAATATCTCTTATGCTCACATACTCCTGTATTAGTAAAGTTTAAAATTGAGATAGGGCAAAAATAACTGATAATATGTAACACTTCATTCCTATGTTGGCTCAACTTTTCTCTTTAAAGATTTTTCTGATGATATTTTGAAAACTTTGAAATCTGGCCTTATTTTAAGACTCCAATTTCATTTAACCCTAAGTGCAAAAAAATATAGTTATTAAACAATTAAATTCATAAATGTCCCCCGCAAGGCCAGATGGCCATAGTTTCATTCTCTGTCTTTTCCTAGCTATATACTCTCAAGCCATATCCTAACCTTGTCCACAGCCTCAGTAACCCTTTGATGTCCCATCACTAGTCCTTACTTCTATGAATTACAGATCCCTCTGTATTGGTATACCTAATATTTTTCCTTGAATGCCTCAGAAGCACTTGGAATTTATCATGCCCAAGATTAAACTTCTTATCTGTGTTTACTTCACAATCTGGTCCTCTTATGATGCTCTTTCCTAGAAAAGGCACTATTTTCCCTCCATCCAGTTTTAAAGACAGATATGTAAGAGTCAACAAGTTTGGTATGTTGAGTTTTTTTCCTCATCCTTTTCCCCTCTCAATCTAACCCACAAAAATCTTACCTATTTTGCTTTTTCTATATTTTTTAAAGGAGGCTCTGGTGGCACATGTAATAATATATGGGGCAGTTAACCAAAAGATTAGCAGTTCAAATCTACTAGTTGCTTGGAAGTAAAAACATAGGTACTTTCCTGCCTTAAAGATTTATAGCCTCTGAAACCTGATGGAGGATCACTAGGAGTTGAAACCAATGTGGTATCTCTTAAGTCTTCTCTCTATTATAAATCAACACAGTTCAAATTGCAGTCATATCTCCCTTGAACTATAGCATATTCTTCCAACGGATCTCCCAGAATCTGTCCCTCTATAACTCATTCTTCAAATATTAATATGTTGCTCTTTCATTAAAACCCTTTAGAAAGTTTAAATTTAGGAATCAACACAACAATTCTTAATGTTATTTCCATCATCCTACATGGACTGGCTCTTGTCTACATCTCTAGGTTCATCTGGCCGATATGACCTTGATCAAATAGAAATTTTATACTATTTCCTGGTGGTACTTACTGCAGTGTGCAATTTTACATTTTTAAGTGTGGCTCCCTTTCTCCAAACTAAACTGAGTGTCTTTCCACAAAACCACACTGAAAACTTTATAGGCACAGGGACATTGTAGTCCTAGTATCCAGAAGCATTTGATATATGAATGCATTGAATTAATTTGTGAATGAATGCATGGCAAATGAAAGAATATGAAAGATAATAAATTAACTGCTTGTCTATACATGTGTTTTCCATTTTGTAGAACAGTGTAAATGCAAGTTTTCTTACCTGTCCTTATTTTGTTCTTGGACACAAGAGAATTATACTGATTATTTCATCAAGAAAACAAGTGTTCCTTGAATTGGGCTTTCACAGGCTAAGACCTTAAAGGTTAAGGGAAGTTTGGAAGTACACATCTGGGATGAGGTGGACACAATGGTCTATATTTTGATACATTTCATATTACATGCTGCTAAAAAAAAGTGGGGTGTGTTTTTTAAATCTTGAATTTGACTTTCCAACTTAAATTCTAGGAAATCCATAAAGACTGTGCATGTCTGCATACACAAATCACTGCAATTGAACTGATAACTAGTAAAAAAAAATATTGATTGATGGGTCTAGTCACTCTGGTTATACATTCAGATAGAAGCACAGATCTGTTTGTGTGTTGACTAATTTGATAAGCTTATTTTTTATTTGTTCAATAAATTATTACCATCTCAAATGTTTTAGAAATAGCAAGTACTCCTGATGGATCAAGGTTTACTCTAGTAGTCATGTAAGGTCACCTGAAACCACTGAGAAGCTGGGCCAAGGTTATTAGAGGAAACAGTTTATGGGTGAGCTTTGAGTTAGTTTCCCCTCACGTTTTGAAAGTCTTGGAATCAGGGATGGATTACTCAGTGAGCCAGAAACACATTGCCTTAATTGTGCTTACTTACTAATCTGTGGTGAACCTGTATTTTGTCAACAACATGGTAAAACCCAAGTGGAATTATTCACCAGTAAGTAAACACAACAGCAAGCACACACATATATCATGTACTGTTAAACTTCACGAACTAACTGCTTAATCTCATTAGAACCATTTAGATGCATGGAATGACAGAGGCCTCTAGATTTGCATTCCAGATGGGAGAGTGTGAGTGCAGTGCAAGATTCAGATATTTTTCAGATCCAAATCCTGCTTTATGTTCTTATGTGCCATCAAGTTGGGACCAATTCAGAGCTGAACTGCCAGCAGGTTTTCAGAGGCTGTAAATTACAGGAAGGAGATTGCCCTGCCCACACAGCAGCTGGTGAATTTGAACCACCTGACTTTGAGCTGGCAATGCAACTCCTTACTCCAAATGAACTTAGGCTTTATTGTTGTTATTAGATTCCATTGAGTTAAGTACAACTCATACTGACCCTGTAAATGACAGATCTGAACCCTGTCCTCTCTCTGAATGTGAAATAGCCCTTTGTGAGCAGTAGTGAAGTCCTTATGAATAATTCTCTGCATATTAGAAGAGTCAGAGGAAATCAGTGGAAAGTCAGGAGAAGTAGCCAAGTGTGCCTGACCTTCCAGCAAACCTCTAGCAAACTGCTGTGATAAGAGCTGCCTCGGTTCCCCGGCTCCAAAGAACACAGCAGTGCAGTGGAGGAAAGAAACTATTTTTCAGCATATTTCTAACATTCTCCCTGTTGTGAAGTAAATGAACCAAAAAAGTCATTTCAGTTATTTTCCAGCTCCAGCAGGAAACTTTGTTCTTCCTTTTTCAAATCCTGAGGGAGAAGTGGGAAGGGAAAGAAATTCTTCACCTCTGCATATACACAGGCAGTTTCTGTTCCACATATTCCTAAAGGCCTGACTTCCAATCCACAAATAGAAAAACCATACCTAAATGAATCTGCTCAAGAAAAATACATGATAAATTCAATGCATAGTCAGTTTGAAGGGCGACTAATGCTACATTTTTTTTCTTGGGGCTTTTCTGCTGAAAACCTCACCACAGAAGAATCGATGACAATTACAGAGTCTAAGAACTTTCAATCCTCCTCTCTCACTTTTCTCTAAGCTTCTCTCCAAACATATTGGGAAGATATTGCTCATGGGGCCACACATATCTCCATCTCTATAGAGTCTGGAAATGCCGAGGGAGAAATTCCTTGGCTCTGTTGTTAATAGGTGCCTGATTCATAGCAACCCTATGAACAACAGATCTGAACTTTCTCCTATCCTGCACTCACCTCATGATCTCTGTCATGCTCAAGCCCATTGTAATAGTTGCCTCATCTTTTGGTGTGTCAATCCATCTTGTGAATAGTCTTTCTTTTTCTTCACTGACCTCTAACCAGCTTTATATCCCTCTCCTGAAAATATGCCCATAGTAAGTGAGATACTGTTTCACCATCCTTGTTTTTAAGAGGTACTCTGGTTACACTTCCATCAAGATTTGTTCTTTTGACAGCCCATGGGATATTCAGTACTCTTCTCCAGCACCACAATTCAGACATCTATTCTTCTGTCTTACTCACTGTCCAACATTCAGATGCAAAGAAAGCAATTGAAGTCTTGGATCAGGCATAACTTCATCTTTATACTGACAACCTTGCTCTTTAATAGTTTGGAGAGATCCTTCCTCTGTCCCAGAAAACTGTGGATATTATATTTTATTACATATATAAAGAAATTTTACTGAGGTTAAGTTAAAATTCTGACTTTTCCAATCTGCCTGATGATGATAAGAGTTCAGTGCCTTGTAGACTTGATCTACTTGGTGTGATATAAATTGGAAAACACCATTATCCCTGGTAATTCTCCATAGATATGGTGCAGAGTTTTATTACCATTAACCATAATGTATCTCTCCTTTCAAAATCAGCACTTGCTTTAATCTGAATTGTTGCTGTCAAATGTATTCCCAGGAAGGCAAAGATACATATTTGCATGCTCCTCTGCAAAGATTTACATAGATTTACATATTGCTTTGCACCAATCTGTCGCCACATTTGAAAAGTTTAAATTCTAATCATGTAAAATAAAACTTCCTTATTCTCAGAAGAACAAGGCTTGTCACAGTTAGCTGTTTTACATAAAGGTGCTCTGACACATTTTCAAATATAAGTAAATATTTACTCCAAGTGAATTATAAAATCTAAAATACCTGTTACCTGAATTTAAAGAAGATTCCTCTAGTCCTCAGTCCAGGAGTTTTCTGCAAAAGGCCTAGATGTACTATTCAACATGGAAATGAAATATCAACTCATGTATTGAATGGTACTTTGAATGATATGGAAAGCTGTACAAATATAGCATAGTATCAAAATAAAAAGTAAATTGTATTATTAATGATGATAATAAATGGGGCGCTCTGGTGGCCTAGTGGCAAGAAGCTGTACTGCAATCCCAAAGGCACGCAGTTTGAGGCTACCAGCTGCTCTATAGGAGAAGGATGAGCATTCTCCTCCTGTACAATTAACTGCCTCTGAAAACCCCCCAGAGGATCAGCTATGGGTTGGTCTGACTTTACAGTACTCAGCAACCACCACCACAGTAACAAATCGAGGTATTTTTTTGGTTTTTTTTCAGCCCTTCCTTTATTGTTGGTTTTCATTCAATTATTCATATATATATTTTGTTTCATAATATTGATTACAGTAGAGTTTTAAAAAATGGAATAGATCGTGAATTTTTATGTCATTGCTTGTGCAGGGGCTAATCTCTGTATTGTCCCAATTTTAGTATACATACCACCAGAGCAAGTATTCTTTCTTCCTCTTAAAATCATGTAGGAATATTTTAAAATGCTTATTATAATTCTGGTTTTTTAATTAGAAGTCCACTTTTCCTTTTCAAGCCAAGAGTTGGTACAGACCAAACACCAGAATACCTTTAATCCAAAGATATGAGTGTGCATAAATGAAGTATGTAGTGTAAATAGAATATGATCCATGAAACGTATGATGACTATAATGTGAAATTGTGATTGTTTCTTAGATGATCCAGATGGCCTTCGCCAACTAGATGGCACTCCCCTAACTGCTGAAGACATTGTTCAAAAAATTGCTGCCAGAATTTATGAGGAAAATGACCGAGGAGTGTTTGACAAGATTGTTTCTAAACTGCTGAATCTTGGCCTAGTAAGTCATTTCTATAAGATTAAATGAAATCATTAGTACAGGTTAGAGTATATAAAAAAGCCAAACCACTTAATGCAAATATCCAAATATTTACAATGTACCTGCTTTGTACTTGGCATAGCAGGCTTCAGGGACAGGACAGGTTCCATTATTTCCCCTTGGAAGTTTATAATCCATCCCAAGAACTAGACCAGTACACACTATACACATGCTGTCTTAGAACCCTACGAGCAGTTCAGCATGTGAAAGGACAGGGTATATCCACCTGGACAGTAAAGAAAGACTTCAGAGGAGCAAGTATTTAAAATGTGTTCATTTCAATCAGCAAAAATAAAAGATGTGTGTGTGGTGAGGAGGAAATAATGAGAAGAGACATGTAATAAATTCTTGGGAAACTTCAAGCAATGCAATTTGACCCTATCTTAGCTTGGCCCACATTATGCTTGATGAAGTTAGAAGGTCAGCAAGAAGAGTGGAAGAGCCTCGACGAGATGAACTAACAGACTATGACCGGGCTAAAAATGACCACAGTAGAGATTGTGAGGATGGCACAGGATAGGCAGACTTTCATTCTGCTGTACACAGAGTCACTGTGAGCTGGAACAAATCTAGTTCAACAGCAGCTGACACCAGCAACCAGCTTGACCTGCCAGCAGGCAGGTTGCACTATCCTTGCTTCTAAGATTCACCCTGGTTGCACTCCCTCCAAGACACATTTGTTTGTCCCTCGACAGTCCGTGGGATACTCAGTACTCTTCTCCAACACCACATCTCAAAGGCATCGATTCTTCTTTGATCCTATTTGATGCATTTTCTAACTTTCAAATGCATAGGAAGCAATTGAAAATACCATGGCTTGGGTCAGGCACACCTTTGAGTTTAAACTGGCAAGCTTTAGGAGGATGATTTTGATTTTTAAAAGTTACCTGTTTCCTAAGGACAAATACTGCATAAGACTATTATTGTAAAAATGGAAGGATAACTAGTAAAACATGTACAGGAACCCAAGGTAGGAAAGGATGGGAGCAGAGGGGTGAGGATAGGTAGGGGCGAAACCACAGGGTTGCACAGTTTAATGGGCGGAGGGAAGGGGTGAAGGAAATAGAAAGGATCCCGGTGAAAAGACAGAGTAATGATGGGCAAGGTCCAGTGGTGATTAACTTTATAAAACATAATGAATGGGAATGACTGTATGAAATACAATATGAATGAAGAATAGTGTGAAACATAATTTTATACAAACTTTATAAACAAACCAATATAAAAAAAAGTAAAAAAAAAATCATCTGTGACCTGTAACTCTGCAAGGGGAAATTCTCCAGCTTCTAAGTAAACATTTCCTGAGCTCCAAACAGCACCTGTATTCTGAACCCAAAAACACTTTTCCCCAGAAGTTCTGCGTAGCCCCTGTAGCTACCAACATGAAGTAGAAGCAAAATGAGAGCTGTCCAGCAAAAGAGTTCAGAAGATCCTCTGCTTCTTTGAAAGGATGGGTTTGATTACAGTGTTCAGTCTAGATATTATGTTTTGGAGGATAGTTAGATATGTTTTGATTCTTCCTAACAGATCACAGAAAGCCAGGCACACACACTGGAAGATGAAGTAGCAGAAGCTTTACAAAAACTAATCTCAAAGGAAGCCAACCATTATGAGGAGTTGTCTAATAACCCCACAAGCAGAACTGAGAACCAGGCTGGAAAAATACCAGAAAAAGAGGTATTTGTATATAAATGTATGTCTGGGTTTTGAGTATGTGTACATGTGTGGAGGTATATGCTTATACTTTTATCTCTGTATAATGAATAGCTTATTTGGTGCTAAACAATATTTGGAGTATATAGCATTTTAACTCCATTTAAAATCTATATTCATGAAGTGCCAATAAGTTAACATATGTATAAGCATTGCCTGAAATACAGTAAGCCCTGATGGCATAGTAGGGTAAGTGTGGGGTTGCCAACTGAAAAGTCAGCAGTTCAAACCCACCAGTTACTGACAAGCTCAGGTTCACAGCCTCTGAAATCCAGTGGAAGATCTACATGAATCAGGATCTAGACATCAGTGGGTTTGTTTTGGTTTTATCTTAAGTATTTTGTTGTTGTTGTTTTTATGTGCTGAGTTGGAATTGACCATTGCTGACCCTCCAGCAAGTTTTCAGAGGCGGTTAATCACACACAGGAGGAGAAACCCCATTTTCTCCCACAGGGCTGCTGGTAGATGAAAACTCCATGCCTTCAGGATTGCAGCATAGCTTCTTAACACTATGCCACCCAAGCTCCCAGTGGTGCCTGTGACCGATAGAAAGCAATATCTTAAGTATGGGGCAGGGGACAATTGAATGAGCATATTGTCCTACTTTAGAAGGTGTTGTTAGGTGCCATGTCTCATAGTGACCCTGTGAATAACAGGTCGAAAACTTGGCTCACCTTATACCATTATGGTGCCCTTTTCCATGCTCAAGCCCATTGTTTCAGTCACTGTGTCATTGAGGTTCTTCTCTTTTGCTGATACTCTACTTTTCCCAGTATGATGTCTTTTTCCAAGGACTGGTGCCTCCTGACAAGATGCCCAACGTGTGTGAGACAAAGTTTCACCATCCTTGCCTCTAAGGAATGTGATGATCACGCTTCTTTCAAGATAGACTTTTGTTGTTGTTGCTGTTCATTTGGCAATCCTTCCGGGAGGGGTGGGAAGCAGAAACTGACATTCCCCATCCCCAAATGGCCTAATCTCCTTTTTCCCTTACTTCATATTTTCATCAGTTTCCCCCTTTTAAACAGTTTTTGGAGATCCATCTACTCAAAGAAAGCTTATCAAAGAGTGCTTAATTTTTACTCAAATTGAAACAGATATATCTACTTTATGATTCTTTACTCTATGTCTTCTTTATTCACCTCTCTAAAACGTTCATATGTTCGTATGTTCACTCAGTTAAATGCATCAGCTATCCTATGTTTTCAACAAGTGTTTCACTTAAACATAATTCTTGCCCTCTTGAAGCTTATCTTCTAGTAGAGGAAGTAGATAGTCTTCAGATAGTATTTTAATTACACCTGTATTAAGTTCTTAGAGGAAAGAAATGTGGTTCTGTGAGAGCTCATTTTAAAAAAATAAAACAAACAAAAACCCTTGTCCTGGATGTAGACTGGGAGAAGTGACTCGAGCTGGAGATTGAAGGCTGCATTGTCAATATGAGAGGAAGCATGTAGACAATGATTTATGGACTGTTAAAACAACTGAAATAGAGAAAAATGACTAGCATGAGAGATGAGGTTGAAGGGTGAACCTAGGCAAGGTCTCATGAGGCATATAAAGGGCTTCTGATCTTTATCATAAGTAATAGGAAGAACACTGAAATATTTTAAGAAAAAGAAATGACATCATCAGATTTTCAGAAGCTGGCTCTGGCTACAGTGAGGGAAATGCAGTGTGGGGAATGGATTGGAAGTGGTAACAAACCAGTAGGATGGTGAGAGGTGAATGTAACTTTGACCTGTGTGGAATAAAAGAAATTTGTCAAAATTTGAGATAAATTTCAAAAGTAGGACTACTGAGATGTTGATGGCATGTGGGGAAAGATGAGGTAAGAATGACTTAGATTTGTCTAATTCACTGAATTGCCGATGGAGCATTCACTAAGACAGTTAATACTAGAGGTCTGAGAGTTCACTCTTCTGTTAGTGTTAGACATTTTGTTAGGTTCTCCTGAACCTTGAGACCATCCTTCCTTGTAGATAATGTAAACTCCCTCTCCTTGTAAAACTGAGGTGGGTGAAGAGAAGTTTTATAAGGAGAGACTTATGAAAACTGATGATCCAACACCTGGTCCCTAAGTTCCTGTCTGCATATCTTTCCATATGACTATATGCCCACAAAGGGAGCTCTGGGTACATAGTACTAAGGACTTGCATGGCCAATTCAAAGATACATGGTTCTATTCCACCAGGAGCTCTGAGGGAGAAAGATGGGCGGTCAACTCCTGTGTGATTAACTGCCTATGAAAACTCACTGGTGGGTCAGCTATGAGTCTTCTGACTCAATGGTACTTAACAACAATATGTGTTCACATGTCTAGAAAACATTCTGAACCTGCAAAGCAGAGAGCGTTTTGGATATGTCACATTCAAGGGCACCACAAAAGAAAGAATCAAGTTGGAGTTTTGTTCATTCTAACAAAACCTTTTTTTTATTCCTCTCTCCCCACTGGAGACTCCACCAGTAACATTTCAAGATGGTTTTGCTAATGGAGAAAAGGATGAAACTGTATCCAACACCTTAACTTTGACAAATGGCTTAGAAAGGAGAACTAAAACCTATGGAGAAGAGAGCTTTGAGGAACTCCAGTATTTCCCCAACTTCTATGCATTACTGAAAAGTATTGATTCAGGTAATCACTGGGTTTCTGACCATGTGGAACAGAAACAGCTATTCCAGGAAACATGTGGGTGTGAGATTTTTATTTCCCCTTGTTTTCTGTTTCTAAATGCAGTCTTCATGACGTACATGGTAGGCTCAGGAAAATAGTTTGCATCAATTTTTTTTATTAAAAAAACAAAACAAAACAAATTGTACTTGTCATGGGAATATTTAGGAAAAGATAATCAGGAAAGGTGGGGTTTCTGGACAATAATGTACTTTTTAACTGAAGGTTCATTTATTTGGTCAACAGTTATTGAAACATGTAGTGTGTACAAGGTACTGGAGTGAACCCTGTAGAAAAATGGCACTGAATCAGGCAGTGCCCCTTCCCGCACTCAGTTCAACCTCAACCTCAAACCTCAACCTCAAAAATTGCTATTTTTTTAGAAGTCTTTATTCATTTTCCTCCCCTAATGGAATCTGTATGTGGAACATAAGATCTTCTTTGAGATGATTCAGGATGTCCTTTGTAGACATTTTCAACTGATGTTTTCAAATGAGGGAAAGGACTTTTATCTAAACATCTGAAGCCCAAACTATACTTGGGAAAGGATACGATTTCTTAAAAATAAAGTCCTTAATGGGGCTTGCCTTTTTTCTTTTGTGTGCACTATGAACTTCAGTTCATGTATATTTTGGGCTGACCTGAGGGAGGATAATTAAAGGCAGTGTTCCTATACTGTCTGAATGGTTTTTCCTCTCCTTGGTCAAGATTCTGTCCTGAACTGAATTTTCCTATGTTACTGTAATTGTCAAATATTTGCTCATAAAGGTTTCTTAGAGTGAGCATTCTGGAAAATACCCCTTGTCCTTCAGTCCCAGACATTGGCCAGATGGCACCAGCTCCTCTGCTGGTGTCTACTGGGTTTGTGCACCTAAAGCTCCATTCTGAGCCATCTTGCCCTATTAGCTGGCAGGTGGCCCGCTCAGAATCTGTCATCCTGGTGAGTCACTTTTTGTCCATGAAGGACATCAGTGTAATACCAAGTATTGATATAGATGTGACCTTGGGCAAATTATGTCCTGACTGAAGTGATTATTTACCAAATCTTTTCCAACATCCCTTGCCTCACTTTCCACACTCTCAACCTTGAGTTGTTTTTCTTAAAATTCTGCTTACTGTATTTTCTTGATTTTGTTTTTATCATCCTATTTCCTTCATATCATTCCTTATTGTATTTCTTTTTCTAGATTTTCAGTTTGAATACTGATTGCTGAAGTCTTTAGCAACAGCCATTCTACTCAAGGGTATTGAGAAGGAGCTGAAACAATTGATATTATACCACATAGAAACTAAAAATACCGTCTCTGTCACTGATAAAAGTAGTATTGTAGTTTTGTGTAAGAGCCAGAAATGGACTTCCTTACTCTCTGCCCCTCAGTCTAGATCTTAGAACAGCCAATCCCAGATAGAGTTTAAGACTGCAAATCAGGTGCATTTGCTCGGCCCCTGCCTTACATTGTTCCAGGGGATCAGTGAGAACAAAGATTCTAAATCAGCCCTGAAATGCAACTAGAAGTAATTACCTTTTACATTTGTGAAGGTGATAAAAAAATATGAGGAAAATATCTCTCCATGAGAATGAGATAAAATATGAGCCATTTACAATCAACTGCCAAAAGAACAAGCAGATATGTCTTGTAGAAGGTACAATCAGAGCGCTGCTACGTGGAGGCAAGGACAGCAAAACTTTGTCTCGCATACTTTGGGCATGCTGTTAGAGGAGGCTGTTCCTTGGAATGGGCCATCATGGTTGGAAAGGTGGCAGGTCAGTGGAGGAAGGGGAAGACCCTCAAGTGAAATGGATTGATACAGTGACTGCAGCAAAGGGCTCACTTACGTCAGGGATGATAAGGATGGTGGAGAATAGGACAGTTTTCAGATCCATTCATAAAATAGCACATAACAACACAGAGAAAAAGAGTTGAGTACAAGAATAAGGAAGAGAATCTTATTTTTATTTACTTCTGACTATTAGAATAGTCTTACTAAATGCATCTATTCTTTAAATAGACTTTACAGCAGTATGTTATAAGGAGCTCCAAGTGGCATAATGTATTCTATCCTGAGTTGCTCTCTATAAGGTGGTTGTTGTTGTTATGTGCCGTCGAGTCGCTTGCGACTCATAGTGACCCTATGTACAACTGCCCTAAACTCTGCTCTGTCCTGTGCCAATTGCACTGTCTCTGACATTCCCATCCCAATTATCCCAGTCACTGAATCAATCCACCTCATAGAGGGCCTTCCCCTCCTGCGCTCTCCCTCTACCCTCCCAAGCATGATGTCCTTCTCCAAGGACTGGCCTCTCCTCACAACATGTCCAAAGTATGCTGATGGAGCCTCAGAATCCTTGCCTCTAAGGAGCCACCTGGTTTAACCCTTTCCAGGATGAATCTGTTTTTTCCCCTAGCAGTCCATGGTATTCTCAATACTCTTCTCCAGCACCACAGCTCAAAGGCATCAATTCTCCTTCTATCCTCCTTGGTCATTGTCCAACTCTCTGATGCATAACAAGTGATTGGGAAGACCATGGCCTGTATCAGATGCACCTTAGTCTCCAGAGAGACACCATTGCTCTTCAGTACTCTGGAGAGGTCCCTAACAGCAGACTTCCCCATGGCTAGTGGTTCAAATTTAACAAATGCTCTCTTGCAAAAATTTATGATATTAGAAGCTCAATGGAGAATCATGATGACTGGGCAAAAAATCAAACTTACAGTAAAAAAAAAAGACATTAATTCTTACTTTTAAATACTAAGCATCATTAATGAATATATCCTATATAGCTATTCTCTACACTTCAGATCTATCTGAAGCATATCATTGGTTTCAAAATTGGAGCATTTACCTTATCTTCAAGTGCCTAACAGCTTAAGTAGAGAAAAGTGAGCCACAAATCTTCTCTTTTTTCTTCATACTATCTTAGGTTACAGAAGTATCTATTATTCTATTCAATTAATCAAATTAGATTAAGTAAATCTTTGGAAGAAGTTATAGTTGTTTTTTGAGGGATTACTTGGTATGTTAGACATTGACGAGCATTCTCTAACAACTCTAAGATATTTCTATAAACTAAATCTATATGGTTTTAGCTATAAATATAATGAGAAAGAATTCAATGGGATACTAAGTAAATTGAGATTGAAAGATGAAGCTGTATTCTACTAGGTTTTATATCATGTTATTCTTTTATATAGAAAAAGAGGCAAAGGAGAAAGAAACACTAATTACTATCATGAAAACACTGATTGACTTTGTGAAGATGATGGTAAAATATGGCACAATATCTCCAGAAGAAGGCGTTTCCTACCTTGGTGAGAGTTCTGTCTGATTTATCCTTACTGTATTGTTTTTCTTGTTCAAAGTAAGTTAGAAATGTGATAATAATTACCTTGCTAATTTGATAATTTATACCAAAATAGTCTGAATTATATGAGTAACCAGATCTCCCATCCTTGCAGAATAGTAATCCTAGTGGAAAGAAAACCTCTTCCTCCCAATAGGCCTCTCATTGCCCTGCTGTCAGTCACATGCTTAGCCTTGAACCTATCACCAGGGAGATAGATAACCTTGGTTAGGTAGGTCTATGTTATGAAGTCAAGTGTGCTGAGAATTGGAGAGGATGGGGTTCCCTGAAGGAAAATCAAGGTGCAGTTACCAAAAGATATTGAGTAAGTTAAAAACCACAGATTCAATACAGATTCCATCCCGGGATTTGTTCCAGCTGTGACAAGGGACTTATACAACTGAGTAGGAGTTAGAACTTGAGAATTTAAAATTGTATGACTGTCAAGATTCTGATTCCTAGAAATAAAATCAAGATCTAGTCATCTTATCTTGCTAGCAGTATTATTATTATGGAAGGCTATTGTGATATTTCTAGCAAGATTTGCATATTTTTATTACAAATGTGTTTGCTATCACCTTTCAGCAGAAAAATTAATTTCTTTTCATCTTCCCTCTAGAAAACTTGGATGAAATGATTGCTTTTCAGACCAAGAACAAGCTAGAAAAAAATGCTACTGACAACAAAAACAAACTTTTACCAGGTATAATTTAACTTTTTTTTTTCTGAACCATAGTTCTTTTGAGTACAAACTAATTTTGTTAGTAAAAGCTAACTTTGTCAATAAATGTAGACAAAGAGTTACAGATTTTAAAAAATTCTTAAAAATATGCAATCCAACCCTAGGATTCAATGAGTGAAAAATATCTCTGGCTATTTTGTGGCCAATTAGGGTATAGAAATCTGATCCCAAGAAGTATTGTAAAATAACGTAGGTCTGTAATGAAGGTTAGTTGGGGAGGTAGCTAGTGAAAAAAGGAAGGCACTACAGCACAAAATTGAGCAATTCATCCTGGAATTTTTTTCTGGGTATTTTGCTAGGATTCAGTTCCAGCTCAACAACAGCACGTAACAGCAACGGGAAGCTCCAGGGAACACCAGTGGCCCAGTTCGTAGGGAGTTGCTAAAGGTGGCCAGTTCATATCCACCAGCAGATCTGCAGGAGACAGATGAGCAATCTCCTCCCAAGCAATTTATAATTCTGGAAGCCCACGGGAGAGTCAGCTATGGTTTGATGGCAATGAGTGTGAGAGGGCACTCGGGTGGGGTAGTCTGTAGAGAATTTTGTGTCGCTAATTCAGTTTGCTTGGCTCCACGGTCAACACTCTTGGCACCAGCAGCCAGGAAATTAAAAAACGTATTGTGATGGGAAAGTCTGCTGTTAGGGACCTCTCTAAAGTACTCAAGAGCAAT